CGGAGCGCGGGCGGGAGGGAGGACGCGGCCCCGGGGCTCGGGGGTGTCTGTCAGCGGCACCCTCGCCGGGAGACTCAATCCCCCGGCCACCCGCAGGGGTCCCACCCGGGACCGCGAGTCGGGGGCAGGCGAGCTGACCCGGTCTCTGGGAATGACCGCGGCGCCCCGGGCCGGGCCCGCGCGTGTCAGACCTTTCCGGGAAGAAACCGTGGCTCTTTAAGGAGCGGGGGGGAGGGCCGGTGGCCGCCGGCACTGTGACCTCAGCGGCCGGCGGGCGCGCTTGAACCAGGAAGCAGAACACGGCTGAAAACAACAGGCCGGCGGGAGGCAGAGGCGGTTGTGAACGCGAGTCGCGATGCTTGAATGCGCCTTGATCGCGGACCCCGGTTCCTGTAGGTTTAAATCAGCGATGCTCCGTGCACGAAGGGGTTACTTGATGGTCTCGCCTCGTGTTACTTTGGTACACGGTGTTGATTGTAGCCCTGTCCTTTTCTGTTCTTTTGTGTTACCAAAGCCTTCTCCTTTCCTTGCTTTTCTGCCGGGGGTAGGTGTGATATCATCTGCATGACCTTATTGCTAAAATTTGTATCGAGTAAGCTTTCAAAATAAGGAAACAGGGCCCAATTCTGTGCTCCCTTACATCCGGATTAAGTAATGCTTCCAGTGGAGTTACTGCAGATTTGCTGCAGGTGTAATTGCAAGCAGAATTTGGCTATAGCCAAGGTCTGCCTCTTGCAAGAGAATATTGTGCCCTAACTGTGCCTTGACACATCCAGTAGCATGCTATTGCTAGCTGCCTACCAAGTTGGAATCCAAAGAGGCAAAAGTGAGTTCCTTTTCTCAGCGATGAGAGCAAAGAACAAATTATTCTTTACACTGCTGCTCAGTTAAATCCACTGAAAGACCATGTAAAAATTAAAGACATGGATGAGGATAGGGAAAGGGAGCTTTCCGTCTCTTGTGATCTGTACTATTTCACGTTGTCAGGCTGAGTGCTGATTAGTACGTTTCAAAAGACTTATAAAAATCAGTAAGTGAGATGAAATAGTATGTGTCCATTTAAGACAGAAATAAGGGATTTCCAAGCATTGGAGTACTCTGTACTTGGAGATTACCACTTTTGAAAATATTCTGCTTCACAATAAGTTTGGGGTGTTTCACAGTACTGTGTGATGTCCCAGGACTGGTGTTGTAAGTCGGGTTTGGGATATGTCCAAAGAGCTGGCAGACACAACAGTGAAGTAGGCAAAGGCACGTGGCAGGACTGAGCTGCTTGGGGGAAAGTCTGCAGAGTGCTTCCCTGTATGGTTCAAGTTGTGTCAACTTAACTTTTCTATCATGAAATATTTTATCTTAAACATTAGAAAGAAATCTCTTTTAGTCTTTATTTCTAAATTCCTCTCAAAACCTGTGTGCAGAGGTTAGCTGCTTTGCATGATATCGCTTTCTGGAAGTAGTTCTTCAACCCATTTTGTTGTGGCTGCACAAACCCAGAGCGCGGCAATGTGCAATTCATCTGAAGGTGGCAGAGAGAATTAACCCTGATTCCTCCGCAACATAGAACGCAACAGAAACATCTCTACAACAGCTCATGTTGCTTTCTTATTTCTCAACTGTTTTGTTGTTGCTGTTTTTTAGGCTGAAGTTACTAAACAGCCTCTCTCCTGCTGTTGAGAAGTGGATCAAAAGTCTGCAGCAGAGACCATGAGCTACTGCTAGACTGTACCTCTGACTTCCAGGTGAGTAGGGCACAAGCAACAGGGATGCAAGCTTCTCTAGCTCCAACTCCCTTGAGTAGGTAGAGTTAGAGTAGAGATGGATTTGACTGCCTTTACAGTAGTTGGTCCTGATCCTTGCTTGGCTTGGAGAGTAGCAGGAAGAACTGAGGCCCTTTGAGGTCTCTACCAGGATGTGGCTTTTATTTTCCTTCAAGCTAAACAAACATCAGCCACAGTAGTTCAGTTTCTTTAACTGCTGTACAAACGTGCTTTCTTGGAAGAGAGACTCTTCAGAGCAACATATTCCCAAATGTAGGTTACGTTCAAAAACCCCAGAAGGATTTCACCAAATCCCACATGACTATAAATATTCTTGATGGGGAAAACAAGCCTAAAGTGTTTCTTGCTTTGCTATATTGCATTGAAATGTTAAACACAGCAACATCCTGTGGGAAAACCAGTAACTGACATTTACCAGGTTGGTTTCATTGTCTGGGCAGTGAAAAGAAATTCACAAACAACCAGGGTAAATGGTGGAACACTGGTTAGGATTTGAAAAGCTCCTTCTATATTTTAAAATGAAAGGTGAGGTTAGTAATTTAGGAGGAGAAATAAATTGGTTCTTTCTTGTGAAGGCCCCATTATAGTATCAGGATAAGAACTACTTAATTATGCCTTCAGCTGCTTCTGGCTGACCAGTTCCAACTGTGTTGGAAGGCACAGTTTAGAGCAAGATTGATCATAGCATGGCTCTCTAAGAAGTGGGCCAGCATCCTGCAGCTTTTGACAAAAGGACGTCCTAAACAGAGATGCCAGGAAGCAATGTGGAAAAACAAATAATATCTTTCACTGAAGTACTTAATCTGCAGCCCAGTGTGCTGCACCATAACAATTCTTCTAGTGACCTTGGCTTCTAGCCTGACTTGTTTTCAGTCTCGCCTGGTAGTAGCCCCTTGGGAAATGGGCAGCTGTGCCAATTGTCTGCTAGTCACTGGGAGACATTGGGCAGTGCTTCTCAATCCCCTGACCAGGTACCCCCCACATTCTCAAGAGGCATCGAAGTGTCACAATTTGCGTAAAAATACACAAGCTGAAAGAGGTAAAGGGTTATGTTGCTAATTTCTAAGATGGTCTTAGCTGTTGTTTCACCCACTCACCAGCTGTCTGGAAAGAGAATGGGAAATATGGGGCACTTATTGCTAAAAAGTAGCTTTGCTGAAATGTACCTTGACTTCTCTCCTGTCTTTCCTTTCTCCTCCCCTGCCATCAGTTTGAAAGGGGGGTTTGAGGCGCCAGGCACCATGGCAGACTGGGTGGTCCTCGGACTGATTGCAGTTCTCGTGCTGTTGCTGTTGCTGACTGTCTTTGGCTTCATGGTCTACTCGGGACTCTTCACGGAAGTAGTTGTTAGTGCTGGCACGCCGCCCATCCGCAGCATCACTTTAGCGTACAAGTTCCGAGTGGGACCCTATGGCGAGAGTGGACAGCTGTTTACAGAAAGCTGCAGCATCTCTCCGAAGCTCTGCTCCATCTCTGTCTACTACGACAATCCTATCACGGTAAGAACCAGCTGGGAGCCTGTAAGCCATACTTGGGAGTTGGGTGCATAGCTGTGTGGCTGGGGCAGATCTCTGAAATGCGGGCATCAAGGCTGTCAGTACAGTTGGGAATCCTCAATATGCTCCAGTTGACCAGACCTAGGGCTGATTAGAGAGTGAGCACTGTAATATTTAGGGCCTGGTCTCAGTGCCGCAACGTGGGGAGAAGAAACCAAATTTATGAGAAGGACTTCAGTGAAGGATGAGGAAGGGCAGTGAACCTGTGACCTCCTGAATACATTGGCTGGGCAGCCTATCTCTGTAATTCCCCAGATGGTCTGCAACCAGGAGAGCAAAGCATTCGGTGTCAGATGACGCTTTAGATGGAAGTGCTGCTTTTCCTCCTGGACTTCTTTGGTTCATAGCAAATCAGCTCTTCCTTCCAGCTCTTTTTTGCTCATGTCTCTTCTGTCCTTCTCTCCCTGTCTTTCTCATGATTCTTTAATACTCCTCTTATTTCACTCATTCTTTGTTTTTCTACAGTCACTTTCTTATTGTCATACCAGCTAGTGAGTGCCTCTCTGAGCTTGTCATAGGTTTCCTAGTATAATAAAATAGTTACTTCTGACTCCTGGGCTTCAGAATGAGAACTCAGGAGAAAGGTCATTGTCCAATGGGCACAAATTTATCATGTTAGATTGAGGTGGGCATAGTCCAGGTAGGTACAAGGAGCAAACTAACCTGCATCTTATTTTCCAGGGGGTTAAGAATGATTGACTGATTTGTTAAATCAGGGACTCTTGATAACAACATGTGGCCATTTGTCCAGGACAGACAGACTGTCTCCCAACAGATTCAACAGTAGCCAGTGTGACCTATGAGGAATGCAGGGGAGGGTCTGCCAGCAGCAATGTGTATGGATGTGTTTGCCGGGGAGTCAGGGCTAGGGACATAGGATTTTGGCTGATTGCTATTGCTTGGCTTCACTGCTCCCTGCAGGAACTGGGCAACTGACCCTTGTTTAGGAATGCCCCTTGGCAGTCTGATACCTGCCTCTGTTTTATTGTTGACATATGGCACCTTTAGAAGACTCTGAAGTCCCACTCAGCTGGCTCAACATGTCAGCTCCTGTTCAACTTAAACATTGCACTTCAGTGTACAGTGTTTCACCTCCCACTGTGACCAGTGACCTCTCAGACCACGACAACTGGAAGACAGAGGAAGGCAAGAAATTGCTACAGCATACTGATTGACCTTGTACTTCTGGCCTTACTCAGCAGAGAGTCCTTCTGGTGCCCTGAAGCCACCTGTGTGTTTCCTTGTCCTGCCCTTGCCCCTGTGGGTCATGGGTAGTAGAGAATAGCCATTGTGCATTGCAGTCTAGTTCTGATCCCTCCCCTGTCACTTGCCTACCCTGACATATACCCCTAATGGGGAGTTGAAAGCAGGGAAAGTAGCTGATGTAAATCTTTTATGCCAGCTGTGCCCTACAGAAAGGGCACTTGGGAGGTACTCTCTAGCTGTTTCAGTAGCACGTTTGAACCAAATGAAGAGGGGAGAGAATACAAATGGGATATAGGAGTGGGCAGGCATTGGGTTTGGATAGGAGGATGGTATGTAGGGTCTTGCAGGGCGTCAGAAAGATTAACTGCTGGATGCTATGATGTATGTACTTGACAAAGTGCTAGTACTCCTGGAAACTAGTGGGCTGGCCTGTTACTATCAAATGGGTGCTAATCATGCCACGTGTGGATCCCTTTTACTTCTTGATCTCCTGGGCTTGGAGTCTTGTGCTCTGAAGTCTCCTCAGCACTTACAGGCAGTGCCTCTTGAGGTACATGGAAAAATTATGCCTTGAATGATA